GCAACTAGCTACTAGCTGCAGCTAGTAGGTAGAGGTGTGACTTGACAGGAATTGCCAATAGATCCCATGACGCGCGGGTGATTCACCCAAACCAAGTAAATATCACTACGCATTTCAGATGATAGTGAAATGCTGAGATATATGCTCCTTCTGGGCAAATTATATAAATAACTCCCTTGTTAATCAACATCAGAAGGGATTTCCAAGGCGAGGCTCCCCTCAAGGAAGGCTCCTTGACGCTGGTGAGGGGCTCTTGATCTAGGGAATTGGATCTGTGCTCCAGTTCCCTGAATTAAGCCTGAATGCCTTCCATCCCCCCATAGGCGCTGTATAATCCTACGGGTTTAGTGCTTCCCCCTTGATTATAATAATAATAATCCTAGGCGAGGCTGCTGGACACCATGCTGTTAAAAGATAACTACCACTTGTCTTAAGTTTGTTTCATACAGGAAAGTGTACTTATCTAGCCAGTTCTCCACAGAACGTGAAGAACATTATCCATAGAAGAACGTGAAGAACAGTACTCAGATGAATGTAAAGAACATTACCATTAAGAGTGCATTTCAACACAGATTTGAGGGAATTTCGCCCTAATATAATTATAAGAATCATTACATTCACTTACCGAAGATGGTGTTACGTTCTATGTACAACTTAAGCTATCATGCAGAGTGGAGGCGTGAGTGTGCTCCTGCTACCACCAGAACCACGGCATTAAACCCGTGAGGGCCAGTTAGTGCTGGGTCAGTGAGCAATGACGACACACTATGTTAAATATTATGATGACTGATGCACCGTGCGTTCCTTCAAGCAGTGGAGACACACGGTGTAAACTACATCATTTAATAGTTACACCGTGTGTTATTGAAAGCAGTGCAGACACAGTGTGAACTACATTATTTGATAGTTACACCATGTGTTCCTTCAAGCAGTGGAGACACACAGTGTGAACTACATTTGATAGTTACACCGTGTGTTCCTTCAAGCAATGGAGACGCACAGTGTGAACTACATTTGATAGTTACACCGTGTGTTCCTTCAAGCAGTGGAGACACACAGTGTGAACTACATTTGATAGTTAACACCGTGCGTTCCTTCAACAGTGGAGACACACAGTGTGACTTACATTTGATAGTTACACGTGCGTTTCTTCAAGCAGTGGAGAACACCAAGAGAACTGAAACAGTATTGATGATTAAACATACCTAGTGATTTCAACACAGAATTGAGGAATTTCGCCCTAATAATTAGAATCTTACATTACTCGATATGTTTACCGTTCTATGTACAACTTACTACAGCAGAGTGGAGACCTGAGTGTGACCTGCTACATCAGAACTACGCATTAAACCGTGGGTCCATTATCATGGTCAATGAGCATGACACACACTGTGTTAAATATCATGATGACTGATGCACCGTGCGTTCCTTCAAGCAGTGGAGACACACAGTGTAACTACATCATTTATAGTTACACCTGTGGTTTTTGAAGCAGTGCAGACACAGTGTGAACTACATATTGATAGTTACACCATGTGTTCCTTCAAGCATGGAGACACACAGTGTGAACTACATTTTTGATAGTTACACCATGGTTCCTTCAAGCAGTGGAGACACACAGTGTGAACTACATTGATAGTTACACCGTGGTTCCTTCAAGCAAGTGGAGACACACAGTGTGAACTACATTTGATAGTTACACCGTGTGTTCCTTCAAGAAATGGAGACACACAGTGTGAACTACATTTGATAGTTACACCGTGCGTTTCCTTCAAGAATGGAGACACACAGTGTGAACTACATTGATAGTTACACCGTGCGTTCCTTCAAGCAGATGGAGACACACAGTGTGAACTACATTTGATAGTTACACCGTGCGTTCCTTCAAGCAGTGGAGACACACAGTGTGAACTACATTTGATAGTTACACCGTGCGTTCCTTCAAGCAGTGGAGACACACAGTGTGAACTACATTTGATAGTTACACCGTGCGTTTCTTCAAGCAGTGGAGACACACAGTGTGAACTACATTTGATAGTTACACCGTGCATTCCTTCAAGAAATAGAGACACACAGTGTGAACTACATCATTTGATAGTTACACCGTGTGTTCCTTTAAGCAGTGGAGACACACGGTGTGACCTACTTCATCTGATAGTTACACCGTGGTTCTTTAAGCAGTGGAGACACACAGTGTGAACTACATTTTGAAGTTACACTCGTGCTTCCTTCAAGCAGTGGAGACACACAGGTGTGACTACTTCATTGATAGTTACACCATGTGTTCCTTCAAGCAGTGGAGACACACAGTGTGAGCTACATTTGATAGTTACACCGTGTGTTCCTTCAAGCAGTGGAGACACACAGTGTGAACTACATTTGATAGTTACACCGTGCATTCCTTCAAGATATAGAGACACACAGTGTGAACTACATCATTTGATAGTTACACCGTGTGTTCCTTTAAGCAGTGGAGACACACGGTGTGACCTACTTCATCTGATAGTTACACCATGTGTTCCTTTAAGCAGTGGAGACACACGGTGTGAACTACATAATTTGACAGTTACACTGTGTGTTCCTTCAAGCATTGGAGACACACGTGTGAACTACTCACTCTGATAGTTACACCATGTGTTCCTTTAACAGTGAAGACCACAGCTGTAACTACATTTGATGGTTACACCGTGCGTTCCTTCAAGCAGTGGAGACACACAATGTGAACTACACAACTTAATAGTTACACCGTGTGTTCCTTCAAACAGTGAAGACACACAGTGTCAACTACATCACTTAATAGTTACACCGTGTGTTACTTCAAACAGTGAAGACACACAGTGTCAACTACATCACTTAATAGTTACACCGTGTGTTCCTTCAAACAGTAAAGACACACTGTGTCAACTACATCACTTAATAGTTACACCGTGTGTTCCTTCAAACAGTGAAGACACACAGTGTCAACTACATCACTTAATAGTTACACCGTGTGTTCCTTCAAACAGTGAAGACACACAGTGTCAACTACATACTTAATAGTTACACCGTGTGTTCAAGCAGCGGAGAGAGAGAGTGTGAACAACGTGACCCGCCACCACAGCGTGAACATAAACAAGCCTCCTACCTCCCGGACAAGTCCACGATGTGTACACTAGACTCCCTGCAACAACAACCATAATGCCAGAAATTATTCCAAACAAAAACCGAAAAATCAACGTTGTGTATTAGTGAACTCAGTCAAGTATAAACGGAAAATAATATAACTTAAAATGAATTGTGGGAGATCATGCAACATCTGGAGGAAGTTACGCACGCACACACACACACACACACACACACACACACACACACACACACACACACACACACACACACACACACACACACACACTCGTTTCACATCCTCACTCCATGATATATAAGTTTATTGCACCTCAGTCACGTTGTTACACATAATTAGGTAAATAATAATAATAATAATAATAATAATAATAATAATAATAATAATAATAATAATAATAATAATAATAATAATAATAATAATAACCTACAAAATTAGAAAAAATATTAAACTGAAGACAGGAATTAATTTAGTTCATTTTGCATACCATTTGTTTATTATGGGCGTGTGTGGGACTCTCGTGTACTCACAGCACGACTTACTCTCAGTGTTCAATTAAATACCCTGAAAGTTACTCATGGATGATTTTCAGAGACTCTGGAAGTGCTTGTGTCATCTCAGTGGCAAGAATGTCTTAATATATGAAATTTTAGCCTACACGCTTATCAATACAATAATTTGCTTTTAACATTCACCCTATTTAATGCAATAATCTGTATCATACACCAGTTATGAAAACTGAGAGTATACGGACTATTTAAGAAGTTTAACTTGCAAACTTAAATAGTGGACATAAACACTGCCACGATATTGAACTTAAACACTACTTTGATAATGGACATAAATACAATTTTGATATTGGACAAAAGCACTACTTAGATACTGGACATCAACACTACTCAGATACCGACACAAACTCTACTTTGATTCCGAACAGTCTTATCAAAAACAATTTACTCTATCACTTGCTTTGCACACACTTCACTAGTGACAAATGTTCCCTCTTGTAAACTTGTCCTTGTGAGCCCCCCCATTACCTCTTGCAGAGATCCACTTTCTTGTTAAAACAATCCATTCTCTTCTCTATAATACTGGTATTGACGAGCACACACATGGGGACATCTTTCCAGAATGGATCATCCAGTTATTATCACATCTAGCATAATACGTACACACCAGCCAGTAGTCTGTTAGTATTACCATCATACTGGCCAGGGAGTCTCGTAATATGACACACTGGCCAGGGAGTCTCGTAATATGACACACTGGCCAGGGAGTCTCGTAATATGACACACTGGCCAGGGAGTCTCGTAATATGACACACTGGCCAGGGAGTCTCGCAATATGACACACTGGCCAGGTATCCTCTAAGCAAGACACAACATATTAATACACTAACCAAGCCTACACTGCCCAGATTGTCATAAGCGTAAGAATGCTAACACATGCACAGCTCATTGTTTATTTTAAGATGCAAAGTAAACTGGACCATTTTAAACATAAACATTGATTTTACTTCATCTACAGATGTTAGAATTTGGTTAATGATTACTGCAAATATTCAACTAATGATTTCACGCACTAGTGTACGGACACACATAATTAAATTCACACACGGGGTGAGCACACACACACGTGTGAAGTACGCATGCACACACACACACACACACACACACACACAACACACACACACACGTGTAAGTAGATAAACACAGTGAACGCATGCACACACACACACACACACACACACACACACACACACACACACACACGTGTGAACTACTCATGCACACACACACACGTATGAACTACGCATGCACACACACACGCACCACACACACACACACACACACACACATGCGTGAAATACAGCGCCTACGGCAGATCGAGGGATATAAGAGGATCTGTATGAGGCTCATCCTCCAGCATCTGCAGTCCTCCTTCCTCGTCCTCAACCAGGTACACATGGCGCTCGCTGTAGAGAACTCTAGTCAACACCTGCAAGCTTCAACACTTCTTAATTCACACCTACACCTGCACTTACACTCTCAGTTAGTAACTTGTCTCACTTATCAATACATCTGTAATCCAATACGTCAAATTGCCTCACACCTATACTTACACTTACATTCCTGTACAATAACTTGCCTCACACATACATTTGCACACCTTGACAGACGATCCTGCCTCTCACACTTGCTCTGAGTGTCCTACACAACGACCTTCACACATACAACTGTCTTCCGCTTAACCTTGTAGTGGAAGGCTCAAAGCCAGCCTGTGTTCACTCAAAGCCAGCCTGTGTTCACTCAAAAATCCATCGTGTTAGAAAAATAATCCTATTTTCAGGTCGACTTTGTATTACCTAATAATAAAATATCGATATAACAGAATATTCCTGGTCTCTTTAAATCTCATCCTTCGCGCCTACGACACATACTGATCAGTCCTCAATACATGTCAGCCTAAAACTTCCCTACCCAGTGTCTTAACATCGCAGATTGCCTTAGTCTTCAGTTGTACTCTCTACGAGCTTATCAGTTTGATAGTCTTTGAATGATTTCAGAAATCTTCTTTCAGTTTCCAGTCAAAACTGGAGCTGCGTTTTCTTATACGTTCAGGGCTGTCCTTTCTAACCCGAGCGAGAGCATTTATTGACACTTATGCCCTTCTGCAGCGACCTCTACAGTCATCTGACTGATGTGTTCCTCACACTTTGCAGACCTCCCCTCACTCCTGCAGGTCTCACTGCCTTCTCTTCACTCCTGTATCTCTCACATGCTTCTACTCACCTTCAGCATCTCTCACACGTCTCTCCAAACGTCCAGCACCTCTCACACATCTCTCCAGGCTTCCAGCATCTCTCGCACGTCTCTCCACGCTTCCAGCGTCTCTCACACACCTCTCCAGGCTTCCAGCATCTCTCACACACCTCTCCAGGCTTCCAACATCTTTCACACACCTCTCCAGGTTTCCAGCATCTTTCACACACCTCTCCAGGCTCTCAGTGTTCATACTTCTCACAGTCACAAGAGTTTACACAGTTATCAACTGATGTTGTCACTGGTGCAGCTACACTATCACCTTGTTCATCAACACTGATCAGTATCACTAATTATTCAGCTCTTCATTCTTTCCTTTCTCTCTTAGTTCACCAGAATTGGAACCGCATACTTTTTATTAAATGAAATCAATATGTATAAATTACCTCTACTAAAAGAACTTAAATTTAAGTAGTAATATAAATAAATTAATTTTGTCTTTAAATCATAACCAAGTCAACATAAGGAAAGCTCGGTGTGTGTGTGTGTGTGTGTGTGTGTGTGGACGCCACACCTGGTAGCAGAGGAGGCAGCACAGGCGTAGAGAGCGTCTTCTGAAGCATCCTCAGGAGTAACGTAGCTGAACCACAGAGTACCTTCCTCGTCCACCGTCAGGCGGGGAGAGTTCAGACTTCGCAGACCACCGTCAGACGTCTGCAACAACATCAATAATATAGCTTATATTTCACACACAAAACTAAAGATATTGACAAGTTTATAATACAGTCGCTAGAGCTGGAAAAAAAAACACGCTTGTGTTTGCTTCGTTTATTTGGATGGATCTTAACTCCTGGTCTCACCTCTCAAGTTTCATAGACGCCATTACTGGATCCTTCCCTCTTCCAACACATAACACTGGTCTGCATGATTTTTTGTATTGGCTCTATGGTATCTTTCTCGGAATATATATGGAAAATATTGATACATTGTTTTTTTTATTCATCTCTATCACATCAGGTTGTCAAGTTATACGGAAACGTTACTTTTCTCTTTTCGTATAAAATAAGCAAATGAGAAAGTGGATACACCAAGTATCCCTGTTTTCTGTGTGTTTGGGATAGTAGGGCAGACAACCAGCACTATGAACAAAAAGACTGGCTACCAAGAACCAGCTTCTTTGGGAGTCAAAGTTTCCTTGTATAAGTGAAGGCAAGGTAAAGGCAGGAATCTTTGTTGGCTCTCAGATTCGGGAATTGATGTAGGACAAGCATTTTGATGAAGCATTAGCAGGTGTCGAGGTGAATGCCTGGTTTTCATTCAAGCAGATTGTCCACAACTTTCTGGGAAACAGGCGCTCTCCCGAATATGAAAAATGACCCAAGACCTGATTTCAAGTTTCCAACAACTTGGGTCTGGAATGAGTGTGAAGATGCATTTTTTGCACTCACATCTTGACTATTTTCCCAACAATTGTGGGGACTACAGTGAGGAACAGGGAGAGAGGTTCCATCAGGATATCTGGAAGCTCGATACCAGGGCAAATGGAATGTCAACATGATGGTGGATTACTGCTGGTCATTGGAACGTAATGGTCTCGATGCACAGCACAAACGAAAATCAAAGTGGTCCTCTTTCCTTTGATTCAATATATAGGCCAACCATTAGGAGGATATTTTTTAAATAAAATCATTTGATTTGATTCATGTTGATTTAGAATTCATATGTTCTTAAAACTAACAGAATGTGCTTTTCCATGATGACTTGCCTAATTTTAATAAATTACCAATTTATTAAAAATTCACATTTTTTATTATCATTAGTTTATGTTTTATTTAAAATTCTTACAAGATAGAGCAAAATGGTTTAGATATTAACAATCAGCAGCCCAAGAATATGTAAGATTGCAACCATGAATAAAAATAAAAATGAAAAACATTCCAAATACAGCCCAAAAAATAATCTTTCTAAGTTCTTCTGCTTGCTTCCTCGTATTTTCTTTCTTCTATACTATATATTTCTCCTACGATCTTTATCTCCTTTACGTTGTCTTCCCTGAAGCTCAGGTTAAACCACGAGCGCTCTCTGTCCATCGTGTTTTACTTATGTCTGGCGATAATCTTTCTTTGACGTCACATATTGTTGAGTCTTTTCATCATTTCATAGGTGACTTCCCTTCCAGTTCCCTTTTCCAGTATACTTCTCACAATAAATTTTTCATACCTCCATGATCTCCTCAAGCACTCTGACTCTCCTCTTCTTCAATGGTTCTCTTAAGTTCCATTTGTACAAGAAAATAAAAGCTTAACATGGTATTATCACTTGTACTTAGCTGAACACTATATTAGTTTTTTCCTCTATCTGATTCGTTTTGAGTGAACATCTAGTCATGTCTTGCCGGTTTATTTCCACTTCATAAAGTTGTATATACTTCTTATATTAGTTGTGCTCTCGACTTTTTTGCTCCCTCTCCCTCGCAGTCCCAGTTTTCCCGTCAGTTTCTTTAAGAGTTAAATCCTCCATAAACAAGATCTTTGTTGTTGCTCTGCCAACTCTCTGTCGTTTACCTTACACTTCATCCTCAGCTTCCTGTTATTCTGGCTCTCCTTTCATTAATATATCTATTATATAGTCTTCGAATTCCTCGAAGTTTATTTTTTTTAGACCCATAAATGTCCAATGAATCTTTACCACAAGTGCCTGTACTCCTTCCTGTGTTCTCAATTATCTCATCATGTGGTATCACTCTGGGAAAATTATATTTGTTAATGCAATTGATTTTCATCTTTTGTGATTAATGTGATGACTGTGGTTACTTTTTTCAAGCAGAAGATTACAAGGAAAATAGCAATAAAAATCTAGAATATGAATTACACGAGAGGCATAAGAAATAGTGAATTTGTACATTTTGTTATAGAGCTGAACTGGATGAAATATTTTTTAAACCACATCTTCTTCTAAGGATTGAATGATCCAAGAAAGTCCACGTTCATCATCATTCATTCAGTAAATGTTTTGCCAGAAGTGCGCAATATCACGATTCAGAGGAACCCCCGAAGTGCAACATCTCCATAAACATTAGTTTATGATTAAAAAAAATGTGACAATAGAGAGTGAAACGCTGTGGTTGTCAGAGTTTGTTAAGGTTACCTGTACATGTGGCACAGTAGTGTAGCAACATCAAAACGGAACGAGACACTGTAAACTTGATAGAGAGGAGAGTTAATACACTCTCTGGCGTTATAACTTAGACTTGTACAAAATACAAGAAATCACAATATTACTGTTGTTGCTGTTGCTAAATTTAATTATAACTCAAGAAAATATGCAGTATTTGCTTTCTAAAATAGTAAAAATGAAAATGTATTGATACCTGACTCCTGCAACAACCTTTCATGGAGTAAATATTGAAAATGGAGTGTCAGTTCTGGCCTGATATATGTAGTGTGTATGGCAACATGTTGAAGCTCAGGCTGAGTGCAGCCACTCAATAAACTCGTATATTCCAGCAAAATTATAAAAATTCATGTAATTTTTTGAACAAGTTTAATATTGTAAATTGTTTCATGTACACGGGTTTAACTTCTGAATATTTAAAAAACTAAACAACTAACTAAATAAAATAAACACACACACACACACACACACACACGCACACACACACACACACACACACACACACACACACACACACACACACACACACACACACACACACACATATATATATATATATATAAATATATATATATATATATATATATATATATATATATATATATATATATATATTATATATATATATATATATATATATATATATATATATATATATATATATATATATATAGGGGTATATTTTATTTATGTTACCCAAGAATTTAAAGATAAACTGATGATACAAAAATGACGTATAAAATACATAAGGTTTGAGGGATACATTTCAAGTACATATTGCTACGTTTTTGTCAAGGCATTGTGACCCGAAAAAGAAGAAATGCTTTCGTCATTACTTCATCACTGTTTCTTGCTACAGTTCGGAGTGCAGCCACTATACTTCCACCTTTAGGACTCAAGTCCAGCTAACCAGTTTTCCTCAATCCCTTCATAATTGATACCTTGCTCATACTCCAAGAACACGACAATTCATAAAAACCACTTACCTACACTCTCTCTCTCTAGCTAACACGGTCACATGCACTACCTCAACCCCATCCCTACAACCTTTCCTAGGATGACCTCCACCCCGCCTTCCCTCCACTACGGGTTTATATACCTCCAAGTCATCCTATTTTGTTCCATTCTCTCTAAATGTTCGAACCACCTCAACAACCTATCCTCAACCCTCTGAATAATAAATACCTTTAGTAACCCTGCACTTGCTTCTAATCCTCAAGCTACGAATACTCTGCATAATATTCACATCACACATTGCCCTCAAACGCAACATCTCCACTGCCTCCAGCCTTTTCCTTGTTGCAACATTCACCACCCATACTTCACACCCACATAAGAGCATTATTACCACTATACTCTCATACATTCCCCTTTTTACCTCCATAGATAAGGTGCTTTATCTCCACACACACGCACGCACGCACACACACACACACACACACACACACACACACACACACACACACACACACACACACACACACACACACACACACACATACACATACATACATATATACACACACACATAAAGAGGCATCACCGGATGTCATAGCTCTCACTAAAACCAAGCTCACAGGAAGATAACAGGTGCCATCTTTCCAACGGGATATCAGATCTTGAGGAAAGACAGAGGGAACAGAGGGGGTGGAGGAGTGGCACTGCTCGTCAAAAACCAATGGAATTTTGACGAGCTGGAGAGGGGAGACAGAGGAGAAACAAGAAACTGCATAATAGGAACACTTCAAGCTGGACTGCCCAAGGTGGTAATTGCAGTGATGTATAACCCACCACAGAACAGCAGGAGGCCAAGGCAAGAATATGATGAGAGTAACAGAGCGATGGTTGACACACTGGCTGAAGTGGCCGGAAGGGCTCATGCGAGCAGGGCAAAGCTGCTGATTATGGGTGACTTTAATCACAAAGAGATTGACTGGGAGAACCTGAAGCCACATTTGGCCCAGAAAGGTGGAGGGCTAAGATAATGGAGGTGGTACTGGAAAACCTCATGTACCAACACGTAAGGGACACTGCCAGAGAGAGAGAGAGAGAGAGGAGAGGATGAAACAGCAAGACTGGACCTGGTATTCTCCTTGAGTAGTTCAGATATTGAGGATATCACATATGAAAAACCCCACGGAGCCAATGACCATGTGGTCCTGAGCTTCGAATACATAGTAGAATTACAAGTAGAGAGGGAAGCAGGAAGGGCAGGACGAATGAAGCCAGACTACATGAGAAGGGACTACATAGGCATAAAGAGTTTCCTGCTCGAGGCTCAGTGGGACAGAGCACTGGCAGGGAAGTCGGTAAATGAGATGATGGAATGTGTGACAACAATATGCAAGGAAGCTGAGGAGAGGTTTGTACCCAAGGGTAACAGAAATAACGAGAAGGCCAGGATGAGCCCATGGTTCACTCAAAGGTGAGAGAGGCCAAAACCAAGTGTGCTAGAGAATGTAAGAAGTATAGAAGGTAAATAACCCAGGAGAATAAGGAGAGTAGTCGTAGAGCCAGAAACGAATATGCACAGATAAGAA